TACCCAACATGCCCTAAGGCTATGCGTTGGTTCGGTGTTCGGCGTTGTATGTATCTGACATGGCCTGTCGAGCAGTTCGTCAAGGACGGTTCTATGTCCCGTGAAGGGCTTGTTTTTCTTGTCAATAGGATGACGATCGGGTGCCCCGTAAGGGTGCATCCTTTTTGCTCGTCCGGGGGGCTACCTAAAGGCAGGGGGTTCCCACCAGGCTATCTGGGCTTTCCAGGTGCTTTCCATTGCGCAGTATTTATGTACTATGTGTGCCAACTCTGCAAAGTGCAGTATGCGGCGGCGGTTGAGGGCATTGAGAATTCCCTCGTCCGTACAGTTGCGGCAGAAAACTGCAACCGCATCGTCATCACAGCAATCTTTAATCTTGTTTTTAACAAGGAGGAACCTGGCCCAAAAGTGATGGACCGTTTCCTGAGGTTGCTGTCGTACATACATTAGGTCGCATATGTCTAGAGGACCTGAATTACTTGGGGAATATTGATTGTGGTGGGTGGGCGGGCTAAAATCCGTGTCCCGATCCACAATTGAGTCCGAAGCTGGAAGAATCTCTGAGTTCACCAGTTCAAGATCGGGAAGGTCCTGAGGACTTCCGGGCTCAATGCCTGATCTTGTGTTCGGAGCACACACAGTCTCTTCTAGGGGAGGGGTATCCGGCTCACAGGGCTCGGAGATCCGAATATAGCTGGTTTTTAACTTGGGGGAGGAATCGTTTTGGCTCGTTCCTCAACGACGACTACCAGATGGGTGACCGGTGGGGACTTGATTTCCCTCTGGTTGGGTTTAAGCCCAATCCGATCATAGTCTGTTGTGACCCCCAGGGCGGCGATGCGATCTAGCAGCTCGTTTAAGGATGAGACATCTGTCGGATCCATCTTTCCGGAGTGTTTGAGGCTAATATGGAGATGATGTTTGGCGATTGTAGGGGCCACCATTGGCTTGACGGCTGAGCGAGCGCCCATGGTGAATCTGCCGAGCTGGAGGACCTGTCCTGGAGTTAGGGCCCCTCCGGAAGTGATATCATCATTAATGACAAGGCGAGCCATCTATCCTTCCGTCGACAACACAAATGAACTCTCAATGAAAGCACCAATATCGGTGTCAAAACCGGCCGATCTCGGGTAGAGCGTCACGAACTGTTCGTCTGAGGATCGAAGGTAACAAGGGACACAGGGAACACGATATTTACCCAGGTTCGGGTCCTCTTAATGGAGGTAAAACCCTACGTCCTGCTTGATTGTATTTGATGAGTATAGGGATTACAAGAGTCGATCTACCTCGAGATCGTAATGGCTAAACCCTAGATGTCTAGCCTATATGAATTCTGATGATCCCTACGGACTAAACCCTCCAGGTTATATATACACCGGAGGGGTACAGAGTCGGTTTACAAGGGAAGGAAACAACACATCTGGACTCCAATCTTGCCGTGCACGCATCCAGGAGTCCTACCCGAACACGGGGAATGATCTTCTGGTTTATCTTCACGGCCCACCAGCCCGGCCCATATCGAGTGGGCCAGACACCTGAGGACCCCCAAATCCAGGTCTCCCTCAGAGGGATTGGGGAAGAAATCCATAGAAGAAATCGCTAGATCTATTGAATTTTGGAGAGAGAATTGAGAGGAGAGAGCCACCGCCGCGCTCTCTGTTTTGGTACTGAAAGTAATGGGGGTGGGATGGGGGAAGGGCCAGCGCGCAGCGGTTACTAAGTTAGTGCGCAGCGCCTAACGCGTAGGCACTGCACATGGCTGTGTGGCGCCTTATAGTTAAGCGCTGCACAATGAGCCATGGCATCGGTCGGCTAGGCGCTGCACATCAGGGGTGGGGCCGGGCGTGGCCTTGGGCTGCCACGTTAGTCTGGTGTGCAGCGCCTGTCAGTCAGGCGCTGCACAATGTAGTGTGGTGCCGAGCTGTCGAGCGCCACACAAAACGATCAGCTAGGTGAATTTTTTTTCACCAACGGTTCACTTTGTGAAATTGTTTCGCCCATAGGTCAATTTTGTTCATTTTTCTTTATGATGACGGTTGTGCGAATGAGCTTAAAAGAAAGAAAGAAAAAGAAACAAGGCATGTCAGGCAAGGAAGGAGATATCTTGAAGCGAAATAGCACAGGCCTTGCGGCCAACCCTACGTCGCGGATGCTGCCGGACGTCTCCTATCCACCCCACAATGGGCTAGGTATGGATTTGCCGGTTAGCCTAGTCGTTTGAGTTGGATTTACCCCATCCGCTTGGATGACGTTTTTCTGTTTTTCTGTCCAGACAATGATCGGGTAGCTCGCCCTGACGTTTGGAATGGATATTGGGGATGACGTTTGGGATGGATATTGGGGATGGGGGATGGGGAGCTTTAACATATACATGTACTCCCTTCGTCTTATAATATAAGAGCAACTTTAAGGGAGAGAATATTTTATCCGTTTGGGTCATTCGGACAGAAAAGATGGCCCAACGAGGCGACCCAAACGGACATGGCGTCCGCCTGCTGTCCATTTGTTGTCCGTCTGGACCCAAACCAGGCTTAAATTTGAGCCACAAATGGGTCAGCGCGGACAAACCCGGACGCTCTCGTCACTCGCTCGTGTCCTCACTCGTGACCTCGCGTGTCCGGCCTGGTCCCACGCATCAGCGACTCGCACTAGCGATTCAGCCTCCCACCACCACCGCCCGCTCGTCCCCAGCTCCCGCGTCGCCGCCCACTCGTCCCGGGCTCCTGCACCGCCGCACCAACCTCGTCTGCCGTTGCTCGGATTCGGCGCCGGCCGACCAAATCCATCCGGTCCCGCGCGGATCCGCCGCCCCCACCGGTCTTCGCGCCTCCGCCGGCCTTCGTCGTCCCCATCATCCTCTCGCCGCGTTGTTGCCATGGACGCCTTCAGGGCATTGAGCAGGAGCTCGCCTGCCGCCACGCTCGGCCACCTCGACCTCCCCGGATCCGATTCCAGGCAGCAGCAGCGGCGCCAACCTGACTGCCTCCACAAGCTCCTCAGGTCATTCTTGAGATGCTTCGGCAACGACCACAACAAGCCCAGGCGAGGCCGCTGCAACTCCTCGACATCAGGAAAAGGCAGCCGCAGCCGGCGATCTTCACTGATTTCGACGGGTTCGCCAGGGTGGGGGCGCCGCCGGCAAGCTTCGCTGACGGTCAACTCAGTTTACTCGGCTGCTGCGTTTGTCCGTTCGAGGGTTGTGCGTTGGGTAACAGATGACCCAAACGGATGACAAACAGACAAAATCCGTGTTCGTTCGAGTCTTTGCGTTGGAGTTGCTCTAAGGGCCTTTTTTTACGCTATAGTACAAATCTTAGTGATTAAGCTGGGAGGAGGTCCGTTGGTGGGTCCGGCGCTCCGGCCGACGAGGCGCCAGAGGTTGCTGAGCTGTGGTGTCTGCGTGTCTCATAGCCGGTGTCCTCTCCTGTGATCCGGTGTGACCCTTTCACCCTCGCCGTCCGCCTGCCAAAGCCAGCCGCCATTTTTCACCCCGCCTCATCCGTCCATTCTAGTAAAAACACGTCTCAACAAAGGGCAATGCCTGCTGGCACTGGACTCTCTCACTTGTGATCTTGTGCCAAAGTACCGGCGGCTCGTAAATGCGCGGGCCCATGGAGTACTTCCACCCAAAATAAACGTTTTGTACCAGAGTACTTGTCGCCAAGAAAACCGAGCACAAAAGGCCGAGGCCTGGCTAGCTAGATTCCTGTAACCCGACGTCCCTTTCCCGCGCCAGTGAACACCAACTGCGCTCTGCTAGCGTTCGGCAGATGGCTAGCGAGAAGCGATTCCCCTAGAGCCACCCACCCATGACTTTTATGCGCGGCTGGATCGGAAATGGAAACGGCAGCGACGGACGAGGAGAGGCGAGCAGGAGCACGCCGTCATAATAACTGCCGGAGGCCCCAGCGGCGGCCTCGACCTGGGAAGATCGGTGACGAGCCAATCAATCCGTGGACGCCACAAATGGCCACTTGCGCATTCAACCATGTCGCCAAGCACCGTCGGTCTCTCTCTTCCTTGCTGAGTTTAGATTTTTTTTTTAAACCCGATAATCACCATATGTTTGGAATTGACAAGCTTACCAACTAAACTTGTCATCCTCGCGTCAACCAAAGTTGTCATAGAAAACGTTCGATTTGCCATGGGCAAAATCCAAACGTTCGGATTTATTATTTCCGTCTTTTTTTTCCACTCGTCATAAGGGGTGGATGAGGCTGCGAGCTTTCCGAGCTCCATGTGCGTGCAGGCGCAAGAAATAGCTATGCGATGGTGGCCTAGAGTAGAGCTACGCACTGGCCGGACCAGCAGCAAAAGAGATACGTACTAGATAAAAAGCATGAGAGGGAGGGCCAATAAATTCAGAGCCCAAGGAAACTGTCTCTGTTGCAGCCGGTGAGTCAGTGAGGGAAAAGAAAGCAAGTGCTCCTGTTGCAGTTAAGAAACATCAGACTTGAAAGGAAAATTGATCGAAGAAGGATCCAACCAACGCCCAACCCTCTTTTGCCCAATCGGATACACCGGATGGCTCCAGTCGCGTCGGTTTCCTTTACTCTTTCGGTTTTGACAAGAATAGCAACAAGGAATCTCGATCCAGCAGAGAAATAAACAAGCCTTCATCAGAAAAAAAAAAGTGCTATAGAGAAAAACAAGAGTGGTGACAATATCTATCACTGTTCTGAAACCGATAAACATGAATTCGGCAGGAACGCTTTCCACATAGCAGGGGGAAGAATACAGCATCCCATGGCCAAATAAATAGCTCTTCTATACATTCGTGTCGAATCGAATAAAAGAAGAAGAGAAACAGAAGAGAGATCCTAACAGGCAAAATGCTACTACTATGTCTTTTACATAAGCACAAGAATCTGCACAGAAAGGTAAGTATAAAAAAGTTCTACAAAATGCTGAGCAGTCCTGAACAAGTACCTCATATCATGTACAGGGGAGAAAGCAGGACGATGGACAGCAGCCATTTAGTACAAGAGAAGAAAGAGGGATCACGCAGTCAGACGTCCAGGCTCTATCACCTTGCTTGCCGGGGCCTTGTCCCTCTCCTCTACGTACGCAGATGGGAACCAGCCTGCCTTTCCTTTGCACTCCCCTTCCGACCACCCGTTTGGAGACACCTGTCGAGACAGACACACAAAGATTGCTTGCTTAGCACTGCCGGCCCCATGTGTTCTCCTCTTATAAATGGACAGTTATGCGTTGCCCTGCATCTCATCATGTTCATGCAGCAGCAGTTACCCAACTTACTGCCGGTATGAATTAAGGTGTGATTATTACTCCCTCTGTTCGGAATTACTTGTCTCGGATATGAATGTATCTAGAACTAAAATACGTCTAGATACATTCATTTCTACGACAAGTAATTCCGAACGGAGGGAGTACTTCAGAAGCTTGGCCATGAGGTGTCACACGAATGGATGGATGAAATCTATTAACAGTGAGTGAATTGCTCATGTGCAAACCGCGTGTACCTGGCGGACCACAACGAAATCGCCCACGGAGATACTGAGCTCACCATCAGCCTGACCATCAAACGGATGGATTACCTGCAGGTCATCAAGTGTTCAGCTTGTGGAGTGATGAAATGCTATGTTCAGTACAGCAATTGTGCTGCAGTTGCTAAAATTACTCAACAACTAATCTTGCCAAATACTCCTTGCCATCCTTTTATTGCATATATTTGTTGTTTGTGTGTGGATTAACCCACATGGAATTTCCACTCCAGCATTTTTATGTGGTATTACTATATTTAGCAGGTGTAAAAAAAGAATAACATGAAATGCAAGGTAGACGAGGAGCTTTGTTGAAAGAATGGCAGCACGGGATATCCATCGATCATATTAAGCACTGTCTAAGGTGCAGTTTTGATTCAACAAAATGGAGACTCACATGATTTTGGATAATCTACTGACAGCATATTTTATGGCTTTCTTATGCTACCAAACAATTTAGTTTCTCGATTTCTTTGATTGCTGGAGAATCAGATGAACATTCTTTTTATGAATCAATCAAATGAACTTGACAAGTTGACATCATAAAAATCATCCATGAGAAAGCACATGTTTATAATCTACTTATAAATAAATATATGGAGCAGTTCCAGAGATAGCTTTCTGGGGCTTCCAAAAAACCTACCATCAGTCTGTCTAAAATAGCTCATGCCAGTACGGAACTAAGGTCTAACATGATAGAGAGTACACAGCAACAATATAATAGAGTGAAGAGCAGTATAGATGACACACTACAAACTGATCTGCCAAATACGTGGTGCAAAAGGCGTACGTACCTCCCCAACATAATGCACTTCCTGACCATTCCTTGTAGGTTCGCTAGTTTCAGTTAATGCTGGATCTTCTGATATGCTATTTGAGTGCACATGTGTGGGTGATACTTTAGGTGATGATACTTTAGGCTCCGATGATGGATCTGATGATGGCACATCATCGTTGTTGTCTGACTCTTCATGGGGTCTTGCATTGAGCATCTGTGCAAATCAGCAGAAAAATGGCAATAACCTTCAGCAGAAAATACTCACATCTGTTTTCAACGTTTAGGGCATGTAAAATGCACAATACAGGTCAAATAATCCATTATTTAGAAATAGCTATGCACCTCATCATGAAGTTTGTTCAGAATATCAGCAACGTTCTGATGGTAAGTTCTCTCGGCATCAACCTGCAAGTGGGGCACAGCATAAGATAACGCTCATTAATGTTTAATGCTCAATTCTGTTCAATCAATGTTATCGAATTTCACATACGGTACGTGAGGCGTATGCATATTTGGTTGGAGCTCATGAGTGTCAAATCCAGGAGTGGGAAACTTGAAGTAGGAAAATTAACAGAAAAAGCTACCTGACTTTTTTTAGGGCCAAGTGAAAAAAAACCATGTTCAACATCTAAATCACACATATCACCAATCACATCAAACGGACAGAAAATCCAAACTATGTTTTAAAAAGACACCTGGTAATTAGAAGACATATTTAATTTCCAGGATACTTTCAAGGAGATTGGGCCAAACTATAAGAATTGTTTATATGCCAAAACTTACATGACACTGTGTTTTACTTCTGATCAGTAAGTACAGTTTTGGTAAAAAATATACTCCCTCTGTATCAAAATATAAGACGTTATTTGCTCTAGATTTAGACGAAAAAACGTCTTATATTTTGATACGGAGGGAGTAGATCAGTAACTAGGCACCCGCACATCGGGGTTGAGAACAAAAGCAATGTACCCATATGACCACACGCGCACATGCACACAGGCAGAACAGAATAACTAGATAAGTCATTGAAATGAAGTTCTATCCTAGAAATGAAGTTTCTAATCAACAAAACCAAAAGGCAATTTATGACCTTTCTGTTTATAGCATAAGTGGCCATACCATACCACAGGAATCTCAACCGTCAACAAAAGTACATATTCTGAAATAACAGTGAGGCGCACCATACCATTGCAAGAAGACGATCGAAGGTAATCTGTTGCTGCTGAGCCTCTACAGCCTCCATAGCTGCCGTTGCTTCCTTTCCTAATGCTGCCAGCGTAGTTCGGAGCTCTGATAATTTTGACTCTGCATGTTGCAGTTTCACCGAATCTGTATTACCACTACTCTCCTTGGACTTCAGTTGCCTTCTAACCACATCAGCTATCTAATAAGAGAAACATTGTCTTTTTAGTATCAGGCAGGGATCTCTGAAGTAGTTACAGTGCTAGGCGAGTAGCTCTGTGATCAGCTGACCACACAGGTTTTTCCAAATGCCACTTTGTTTTGCTATAATTTCTAATTTTATGTATTAGTCCATGGAAGCTAAAGGAGTGAAATCACAGGTACTAACTCCTGGCATAACCACTGCTCTGGAGAAGATAATTTTTCATCTGCTATTCATTACCTGAGACTCCATATCTTGTCTGATCCGTTGATAGCGGTAAGTTAACAAGCGAGCATCTTCAAGAGGAGCACTCATTATCATTTCTCGAAGAGGCTCAAAAACCTGTGGGTAGGAAAAACCAAATGGTTAAACAGCAGCAATACAGCTGAATCAGAAAATGTGATGTCATTACTTAGATGTAATCATAAAGAAGTTATATGTGCATTTTAGAATGCACAAATCATCATATCACATTTGGCATTCACTACTTGCTTTGATACTATTTTGTACTGTAAATTTCAACAGAATAAACCACATCTAGCTTCGGATGACATTCCGCTCAAGGGTAAAAAGGAAAATATATCACAACCTAGATGTTTCGGACTAATAAACATAACGCCATGAAGGCAACATTTGTGATGCTGAGAAACTTATGAAATAGTGAAACTGAGGATGGGAATAGCCATCACCTGCTCTCCAAGAACTCTAAGAAGTTTCTCCCGCTCTATCTCCATTTGGTTGTGGGATTTACCAAACTCAACCGAAGCCTTTCCAAGAACAAAACCAACATTTTGATTGTTGTTTCCATATTTGCAACAATCCTCAGCTAGCTTTTTCACTACAGGAAGAAACATTATAGCTTGACAACATCTCAAAATAGAAGCATATGCACATACAACAACAACAGCAACAACAACAACAGCAACAACAACAATAACAAAAAACAATGTGAAGTTACCTATCTCCATCTGTTTGGTGCTAACAGCAACAAAACCCTCCAGTCCTCGTACAATGGTTCGTTGGAAATGCTACAAAATGAGACACAACCAATTCACTTTACAACAATCGGCTAGACTAGTTATCTTTGAGTCCTTTTACAGTACATTAAATTATTCTATGCCGTTTATTTTTATGATGCAGCGGTTAAGATATAATAACAGTACTACACTTGAATTCTTGTAGTATATTCAGGCATGGAGGGCACTTCGGGCAGTCCAGCATCCAGCTTCTGCTGGTAATCCACGAGCTGGGTGACGGCTGGAGGGATGCCGCCAGAGCTGCTGTTCATGCTGTTGGTGGAGTGGTGGTGGCCCACATTGGGTTGGGGATGAATCGTAGTGGGTGCGGGGTACGCGGGTCTGGGTGCGAGAGCACGCTGCTCTCCATCGCCTGGCCACCAAGCACATCGCCATTGCCTTCCGTCAAGTTCGACGTCCACGCTTGTTTAGGCTTGGATTTGGAATTGGCGTCGAGCGAAACAGTTTTTTGTGGAACTTGGAAGTAGTAATTATATGGTTGGATCAGGACATGGATTGAATGTGTCATATGCACCGTTTCTCTCTGATGTTACAAATCAGTAGTGGAACTGATTCATTTGTGTCCCAAATTCGCTATGTAATATGTGATGTCGTTATGTTATAGCCTGTAAGATCTTTGTGGTAGCCTACATGTAACACGCATCATCCAGCTACTGCTAAGATTAATGACCAGACTAGTGCTAAAGTTTTGCATGGGCTCTTGGATTCCATGCTTCATCATTGTTGGTGTTGAAAAGGGAGACGATGAGCAGCGATTGGCGGCGTCGCCCTCCTCGTCGACCTTCCATGCAGCAGCGTCTCACTTGACAGCAGCGGCGCAAGGGAGGAGCGGGCGTACAGCTGCGCTCGTCACGTGTGGCAGCGATCGTCACATACGGCGGAACTATATTGGGATCGTTCGCAGGGAGGCGAGGTCATGTGGTTGTGATCAGTTAATTTTCCTGTTCTTTCTGGATTAATTAGAGGCATTGAATCGATCAGGCGAGAGCCGCACCCAAAGCTGAGAATATCAGCCTAGTCGGAAATTACCAAGCTATCCTCAAGCTGAGCTTTTAGGCGAACCATATCAATCGTTGGATTAACTTAATACTACACCTAAAACTCAGTAGTACAATGTACCGTAAATAATCTCTTATCTATCACAGGTAACAAACCGAAGGAAGACATACTTTAGCTGCTCTTGTGGTATTATAAAGCTTCTGGAGATTCTGGTGGCACTCAAGTTCAGCTTCATCGACAAGCGAAGTGTCTTGATTATGGCGTGCGCTGAACGTCTTGCGAACCGCCTGCAACATAAATGTAACTCTCTCAAGAATGAAACAGGCAAAGAAGCATGTCATATGATGCTGGAACCCATTCATTCATTCTATTGGACCAAGTAAAATTAGGCACAGCTTCCGAATAAGTGGGTATCCACAGTCAAACGTACAAGAAATGAGTAGGTCCAGATTAGTGTCGGAAACCTAAAGAATAGATATGCAATTCACTCCCTCCCTTCCAATGGCTGCTGTTCTGTTCTCCCAATACAGTGGTCACTACCCATAACCTCAAAATTCTCGAACAAACTCTGTGTGGAATTGACTGGGCAGAAGCAATAGCCGGGGGAAGAACCTCTACTTCCAGCGAAATTCCGGCGACCCGGTGGTCGGCGGGAGGCTGAATTTCTGGAATTTGGGAGAGGAATCCGTACCTGCTGCTGCTTGGCGACGTGCTCCCGCAGCTTGCTGGCCTGCTTCTTGAGCGCCTCCATCCGCGCCGGCCGACCGACCGACCGATAGGATCGATCAAAAGCGAAACGGCGCCTCTCCGGCGGTAGATAGGAATTGGGGAAATAATAGCGGCGCTCGCCACAAAATAGCGAACCCCGGAGGGGAAAAGCAGGGCAGCACTCTCCTGCTACACGACACGACGCGAAGCGCTAGAAGGGGAGGGCGGCGGCGGCGGCGGCGGCGGCACAGCGCTAGGAGGGAGGGAGCAGCAGTAGAGCGAGCAACCGCCCCTCGCCTCTCCGCGGTTTGTTGGGTTGCTGTGGTGGCGGTGACGATGGTGGTGGTGGTGGTGGGGTTGGTGCGGAAGCGGAAGCGGAGGGCAGTAGCTGCTGCCGTGGTCGCTCTGGCGGTAAGGTAAGTAACTGCCTGGCAACCGCAACCGAGGCGGCGGCGGCGGGCACGGAGCGCGCCGGCCGACGACGGTGACGGCTGCCGACCAAACTGTAGAGCGAACCGCTAAGCTGGACCGTAGAAATGGGGGTGTTCCGGTTTCTAGAGAAAGCGAGAACGCTGGACCTGTGACGGGATTGACCCGGAGCGTCGAGCCGAACCGCGCGTTACTCCCACGCCATTGGGGGTGCGCCGTGCCGTGCGCGTGGGAGGTGGGACTGACTGGGGGTGCGCGCGTAGAGAGCGACCCGACGCGACGGGGAGCGTAGGGGCGAGTGAACCGAAAGTGGCGGAGGAGTGGACTTCACTTGGTGCCGTACGTCCCGCCGAACAGTGCCTGCCTGCCGGTGGGAGGGACGAGCGGCCGGCGGCCATCCTCGCGGCGGCCCGCAGCTTATCTAATCTGCAACGGACAAAATCTTTGCATTTTGTTCCACTCGCCGGCCATCGTGCTCGTTGTTTGTTTAAGACGCCGGCCATTCCGCCGACGACACCACCAGGGATGAGACGATGCTGGTGGCCGGCTTTTGACTGCTGCCGGCCAGCCAAGCGCTCTTGTGCTCGGTCGCTCTCGCGTCGGCGTAGGCGCGTGGCTCCGCGAGGTCAAGCCTACCCCGTCATCTAATCTCATCTCACCAGTAAAATATTTGAGACCGTCGCGTCGTGTCATCTCAACCGAGTGCTTCCTGAGGTAAGCTCTCAGAGTCGCTTAACTCGCCACGTTGCAATCCATCCCGGTCACGACAGATTCAGCAAAGCACTGGCCAAACAGAAGAATGATAGGCTCAACTGTAAACAATGCGGCCCAGCAAAGTGTCGCCCTCAGGTGAGCTGGCCCAAATGGGCACCTGTATGTGACCTGCATCCATCATCACAGCAACCAAATGAAACTAGCATCAGAAGCACCAACCAGATAAGGGCAAGGGAGGAAAGACCCCTGCCGGTGACATGCCAGCACATTTCTATCATGATGATTCGCATCTGCGTCGTCTTAATCGCGGTTCACACAACCTGATTGATGTCCAAATTCTGGCAATGTAAGAAATAACAATGTCACGACACACCCCCACAACCAATACGGTTTCACTGTCACCGGACACAAAACCACATCAAACACATGAATGTTGCAGGACTGCAGATAATGTTATCTGTCATAGACGACGCCAAGGCTTTCAGTTCACTCTCTCTGCAATTCGCCGAGAGCCCAAGACAGGCTTCCTTTCTCCAACATGTTGGGAGATAAATCATGGAGGGAAGCCACCACAGGTCCGGCCATATTTTTCGCAACAGGAACACTTCACTTGTTCCCATCCTCGACACTTTGGTTTTCAGCCGCACCTTTAGGTTTTTCTTCTCGAAACTTAATATGATTCCTCTTTGCACTTCTGAGATTTTCTACCATCTCATGATCCCTGCAAAGATTTTGCACTTGTCACAAACTCTGAAACTAAAACAGACAGACACAGAGAATGGCGAAAGGACGACGGCAAAAATTACCCGCAATAGAACACAGTCCCTCCCGCAGTCTCCCATATCCTTTGTATGTTGCCTTCACCACCAAACATTTCCCTACAATACAAACACAAAGGGTCAATGAAAGAAGATACATCAAAGCACACAATATCAACACGAGCTATCCGATACATAAATCATACCTTGGCAAGCACTTCCGATGAAATGCTTTGGGGCAGCGCCTGCATAGCACCAAGTTCATTTCCCATGTTCCCCTTCCCTTTGATTGTCCTCTTGTTTTATTACCCTCCGATGTTGCATGTTTTTTCCTGCACGTTTCCTTTCCCTTTGTTTTTCCTGTCATTTTGTTATCCTCCGAAGTTGCATTTTTTTTCTTGCACGAGTAACATTCATGCATAGGGCATGCATCCTCAGGTATTTTATTGATATCCAATGGAAGACAATAAGGGTGGTAAAAGCGCTTACAGCCCCTCTTATTGCATTGTATGATGACCTGACAAAAATGTAAAACAAAAAGTTGGAAAACTAAAGGAATCTGATCTATCCTGACGAGCAACTGCATATGCAAAAAGATCTTGAATATTTTAGAGCCTATATGCAATCAAAATCAAGTACCACTCATAGTTGTTGCCTTGGCTCCTACATCTACAGAATCACAATACTTTAGCTTCAAAGAACTCCACTGTTTTTTCTCATTATTCTCAGTGACATAGAGAATTAAGAAATCAGTAAATCAAGTAACAGTTCCATCACAAACAGAATATAATATATCTCAGAAAATACAAAGTACAAATACATGTTTTTTCAGACACACCTGTTCGTCTCCTCCTTGGTCTGAAGATCCCAACTCTCCGCAAACAAAGCACTGGTGCTTCTTAGACTCACAATTTTCGCACAGAAACTCAGGTAGTTCCTATATAATATGATATGTATGAAAAGTTAGATGCCAATACCGGACATACTGAAACAAGAATAAAACTGAATAATTTGGTAAAGGATTAGCACCAGTTGTTCTTCACTCAGACCAAGAGTGTCGCAATGAGAAGCTTCACCAGTAGGTTTGGTTGGGTGGAACGACCTCCCACAGTCACCATCACAACTACAATGAATTAAGTTAAGAATATGTGTCAACCCTTCTTCAGTCAGGGAGCACGCAGGCCCCCTGGATACAAAACTTCTTTCGAGAACAAGAGCCTTGTAGAGTTCATGCAATGCAAGCTACAATGTTACGCAATCAGGCTACTCAAATAGTATACAGAATGACAAATGGCAATCTAGAGCCGTGATGGCAACTCTGAACATGGAGGAAATATTTAGGGGCTGTTTGGTTTTTGACAGAGCCAGACCCGCCAACGGAGGGCACGCCAATAATTGGCGAGCGATTTCGGCGCCGAGCTTCACCAAAAAGTTGGCGCAGATATACACTAGTAGCGCTGCGGTGGGCTGGGCGAGCCAAAATATCGGGGCTCATCCAAACGACCTCACCAGCCTGGTCAACGACCAATATTTTGGACGGGTGGCTGTGGGCAGCAATCTAAACAGCCCCTTACACATGACATGAGCAAATAGCTCCATTCAAAATAAATGAACTAAAATTATCAATCCTTTTACATGGTACATGAAAAAATACAAAAAAAATTCAACCGATCTATGTATTTATATGTGAACTAGTGGCATATAACTCTTCAAAATACCATAGATTAACCTGAGAAGAACAAAAATAAAAGATACCCTACATTATGAAAAAGACTAGACAAATAGAGTATGCCTACCATATCAAGTCGCCACCCTCATCACAAATAGCACAAATATAATCATCCTGCACAAGCATGTCATTTTAGTTATACATATTAAAACAAGAAGAATTGTAGTGGTACAAGTATGAAACAAAACAAAAATCTGAGCGGCTAAACTAAACAAATCAACATTGCCGTGCAAAAAACAAATGTACCTTGAAGAAAGGTTGATTGATGGTTATTTCCTAACACCATCAATATTTATCAAAATCTAGTCAGTACTGAACCTTTCCTTTTGAAATTGTTTCATTCGAATAATAATCAGTTAACATTTACTCATGCAAAGTTTGAACTGGGATGATACATTACAATGATAGTTTAGGGAAACACAAGGGGAAAGGTAGAAGATTATCTTTCTAGCATGTACCCAGTAAATTCATAATATGTAATGTGAAAGAGCTATTCACGAGGAGATGTTTTTACCACACTATAGTCCTTCTCCATGGCAGCTTTGGTTCCTGCTTAGAACAAAAGAATAAAGACAAGAGAAAATTGGAATTTATATGAACGACATAGAATTGCAAACTATAAGAAAACTAAAGTGTTGATGTTTTGATCATGGTACGAAAACACAGTAGCAAGGATAGACAACTAGAGAGAGAGA